TAAATGCTCTGAGTTCATTTAGTTCTCTGGAGGACATGCAATATATTTTCAGTTTTAGAAGTTTAGCCCTCGGCAGGATCTCAATGGCACAGTCTGTGGTGCGATGAGGCGGGAGTTCATCAGAAGCCTCCTCGCTAAATACTTCAGCCAAATCCTGGTATTCTTTGGGGATATTAATAGGTTCGGCAGGCTTTTCTTTCCTCCCCCCCCCCAGGATGTTTGCAAGTGTCACATGTTTCTGGAAATGTATGGTTTCTCTCTTCCAGCTTGTTTTTGGTTTCCATTTCCATAGCCATGTGAGTCCTAGAACTAGTGGCCTTTCCATTCCCGGGGCTACAAATAGAAAATGAACATGAGCATCTTGCTATGTTCCCCAGTTCTATTTGCAATGGTTCTGTGATGAAATTGGCTGGCTCCCCCCATCGCTATAGTTCCATCTAATTGACAAAATGCAATGGGGTTTTCCATTCTCCTTAGCTGGATTCCCAATTTCCCTACTAAGGTGGGGCTGATTAGGCACCGGGTACATCCCGAATCCAATAATGCTGCTACTTCCTCCCCCTTCTCTCAGCTGGGGATAAACAGTCTTAGGGGTAAAGTGAGTGGTTCAATTGGGTTGCTTACTAGCGGGTCATCTTCCAGATCGCTTTTGGACTGGCTCAGATCTTCTCAGGGCATTGGAGAGTCTTCCTCTGGGTTTGGGAGGGACCAAAACATCATGGCTTCTCAGCTTCTCAGGGCAGTTTATTTTCCTCCGAGGTTGGATTTTCCAGGTTTCCCTCCTGATGGGTGGTCTGGTTTTCTGGCAGGGTTTTTTGAATGGCACTCCATTGTGTTGTGCGTCTCCTCTTTCCACACTTGAAACAGCCAGATGAACTTGGAGTCATGGTAGTTTGGGGTTTGAAAAACTTCCACTTCCCCTGGGATGGGGATCTTCTCCAAACCCTGCCGGTGTGATACTGGTTATAGGCCATGTCGATCTCCGCCTCCTCTGCCATCAGGTACCATTTATGAAGAAGGTTAGGGGCCCTGCAGGCCAAGCAGGCAGTGTAGAGGTCGTCGTTGAGTCCATCTTTGAACAAGCAGAGTAGAATATCTTCTGGCCAGTCGACTCAGCTGGCCAGGTCACGAAAATCCTCAGTGTATTCGGCTACATGACGATGGCCTTGCTTTATGACCCTAATGCAGTTGCAGGATTTTCTATCAGCGAGGTCTTCGAAGTGGTGGCGTAGGGCTGTCATGAATTGATCGAAGTTCCTCAACTCTGGGGCATTGACATTGTGGAGGATTACTATCCATCTGGCAGCTGCCCCTTCTAAGGCTAGGGTAATGACTCGCACTTGGGCCCCTGGGTTGGGAAGTTCCACCCGTATTCTTGCATGTAGGTGAGGACTTGTGCCAGGAAAAACCCCAATTTCTGGAGATCCCTGTCGAATTTCACCCCCAAGGGCAGGATCTTTCTCTGCAGTTGTAGGTCCCTGGGTTGGTTGGGGTTAATCCCCTGCTCTGGAACGGCAAGGGGTCGGATACCTGGTGCGGTTGCTGGTCCTAGGCTTGATCAATTGCTCAATCAGTCAAAGCTGGATCAGGGGTGACGGCTCAGGTTCTCTCGATTACTGGTTCACTCGCTCTCCTTCATTGGCGACCTGATTCCTGCACATTGAAGTCCTCCAGGGCTTCCCTCACGAGGCAATTTATATACCATTTCATCTGCCACCGGTTCCTCAATCCATTCTTCCCGATCGGAAAGGGCTTCTGGCTCCATTTTTCACCTGGGTTTATGGTTACCATGGGTGAGGGTTACTCCCTTAGCTCTTCCATCCCACTGTCTCTCTTTCCCAGGGGTGGGATGCTAGGATGCTGCCCAGCTCTATAGAACTGGTCGCTCTGAAGAGCAGCAGACATCGAACTGGTTTTGTGTTTGCTGCTGTTTGGCCCACCTGCCCTCCTGGGCTCTTACCTGTCCTTTATTTCCTGGTTTTTCAACCTCAGCTGGCTTTTCAAATGCTATGCACCTGCACACTGCGCTTTTCAGCTGTCCGGGTGGCACAGCTTAAAATTTTTTACACACATGCGCAGCAAAACGTAGTCACTGAACTGATAGTAACACTGGTTGAAACCCATCTTTCCTACGCCTCTAGATTATTGGGGCTTCATGGAACTTTCGCAGACAGCTTCGATGTCTTTGATAGGGCACATGAATCTAGTGTCTGGTTGGGTAGTTGTTGAGGTTTCTCCCCAGCATTCGGCTTCCCTTTTCTCACTGCTATGTACAGACATTTTTTCTTTTCCTTTCCTTTTCTTTTTGCAGGGTTCCCTTGGTGGAGTAAAATTTTGGAAGGGAAAAATTGTTTTTCTCTCGAGATCCTGCTTTATGTAAGGACCAGACTCTCTTCCCCATAGAGGATAAGAATGAAGTTTTGAAAACTGGGTATTTCAAAAGGAATTCTTTATTGAAAAGGAAGACAGCAAGTCCACATTCATAGTAGGATTTGATATACTTCCAGGCATGCAGCTTAGATAAAAGGAGTTAGAGCTATCTCTCCAAGAGGTGACAAGTTTTCAGGCATCGGGGATTTCCAGCCCACAGTTATAAATCATGTGAAGGCCATACAAATTCAGTACAAGAATTAGGATATTCAGGTTACATAAAAAATGATTATTTGTATCCACCACCACCCCTTTCTTCTTCCATTGAAGAATGGCAGGCCATTGATCTGAAAATAATTATGTAAGTCACCAGGAGATGAGCTGTATGGGACAACGAGTCATATAATTCCTCACTTCAGAATCTCAAGTTAAAAAAGATTCCATTATAATGTGAGATTAAAAATAAGGAAACAAATGCAAATTAATACTTAGCCATGAAGCTCATGTTGCACATTTGAATCTACTCTCTGAGCTGAGTTTGTTCACCATATTTCCTTAGCTACAGTTTTTCTATTCAATCCAATTGCTTGAGTTCACACAATAGATTGAACTATGATCTAGGAAATTATATTTTAACTTATGTAACTTATTACAGTTAGAATAAAATAGACTAAAATATGGAACTAATAAATGAAAGTGAAATGAAAATGAAACTATAATGCTATCTTGAACTCCTTGGAATTAAGGCTGGATAAAAATGTATTTGATTGTACTAAATAAGGTATGGAAAGAATAATTCCAAATTTATCTTCTAATAAACTGGGGTGTCAAACTCAAGTCATGGTGGCAGCACGTGACATATTGGGACTTGTCCCCCCTTCGTTAAACTGAGCATGACATGATGCATCCGGCCCATGGGCCAGGAGTTTGACAGCTCTGTTCTATGATATGCTCTGCAAGTCCCTGGCAGACAAGAAATACAGAAATACTGACTTCCTTGTCCCCATGCAAACAGTACTTGGAAGTACTTGGCATTGTGAAAATAAATTTTGCTTGTAGTAGCACCATGTTTAAAAATAGTTTTCAGAGTAAAAAGGGTTACCAAAGCAGCACACACCTTGTTATTAGTTTGAAGATTACTTGTAAATAAACCAAAATCTTGGATTTTCCTATAAATTATCAAGGCTGAATGTCTTTTCCTAAATACATGAGAAGCATTACCTGAGCTAAATAACACTTGACTCAAGCCATATAATATCAAGTGTCTACATAATGCTTAACTTCCCGTTGTTATTACTCTTCCTTTTTAAAACAGTATTTTTTTAAGAAAACCTATTCAACCCTTTTACCGTCATCTCCAAATTTAACTAGTCATAACTTCCACAATTAGTTACTAGACTTTCAACTAGTGATATTGCCTTCAGAAAAAAAATGCATTTGTTTTCTGAATTTTGGGGCAAAATAGTAGTATTACTAAATTATTTCTTTACTCAGCCACTGCATTTTCTTATCTTTTGCTTGGTATTATCTCATTTCAGTCCCTTTTCTGTTCATTAGCTGTCAAAATAAGTGTCTTCTTGCTTTGCTTATGTAATGCTGCTCTTTGTATCACTATGTTTATTTGTGTTCTTGAATCCAGCACAACCTTCAGAGTCCTCATAGCTTTGGAAAAAATGTGTTATATGAACTCTAATACAAACAGTGTACTATCTTCAATGGTACCAGGCTGATCTCCAAACCTTCAATCAAGTCAGGCTCGTTTTCAACCAAAACCACAAAAAAAGGTGAACTTATGCTCTTCAGGAATAATATTCACAGTTGCTTAAGGGATTTTAAAGTACAGGTAGTCCTCGACTTACGACCACAATTGAGCCCCAAAATTATGTTATTAAGTGAGAAATTTGTTGAGAGTTTTGCCCCATTTTATGACTTTTTGGGCCCAGTTGTTAAGTAAATTACTGCACTTGTTAAGTTAGTAACACAGTGAATCTGGCTTCCCCATTGACTTTGCTTGTCAGAAGGTCACTAAAGGGGATCACATGACACTTCAAGGTCATTGTGAGTCAGTTGTCAAGCATCCAAATGTAGGTAAGTCATATGATGATGGGGATACTGCAACAATCATAAATGTCAGAAATAGTCATAAGTCACCTTTTTCAGTGCCATTGTAACTTCAAACGGTCACCCAATGAACTATTGTAAGTCAAGGACTACCTGTACTGAATTATGTCTACTCATTCAAAATTAGTTGAGGTACAATAAAAAAATAGGCTTTTGCAATAGCAGTTTCTTGGAACTTCTATCCTGCAGGAAATCAAAAGCTCAGTTTTAGACACTGGTTAAAACTCTTCTTTTGAAAGATCAAGAATAGAATTATTGGAAAGTAAATATGGCTTTATTATTTAAAAATTTGTTGACTTCTGCTTTATCATTTAGTTTTATATATTTTTTCTTAACTATCTTGCATTCCTTGTTACACAAATAAATATTTAGTCAGAGTAGAGTCACTGAAGTTAATGATATTTAAGTTAGTCATTGTTTACTTATCACATGAATTTTATTGTGTCTATTCTAAGCACAATTTAATCTAAATCTGCAATTTCTTAAATAAATAAAATAATTATTCTTACCTCACCAACCATTTTCACATCATCCCGGCCATACCAATCAGGTTCATATACTTCATGAAGAGACTCTGTAAGCTTTTTGGAAGCATCTTGCATGCCTAAAATTTTGAGCAGAAAGACTGTTGTTCACACCTGTAATCTCAAGGTTGGATTCCATTTGATCTGCCTTTAGCAGTGTCATCTTTGAAGTTCATAAACATTCAATAAGGCTATGAAACATGATTTTGTGAGAATTTATTATTTTGAATAAATAATATTTCATTAGAGAGATTATTGTAATTGATTAATTGGTGTGATATTGGCTATATTGATTACCCAAAATTGTTTTCTTAAGCAATTTAATCAATGTACGATCTCAACAAACCCACGCCAGTAAAAAAATCCAATACCAAACAACAACCTAAAGAAAAAAATCCCCACCAATGAACCACAAGACTCCTGCACATGCTTTATATGCTCTATAACTCTAAAGGTTAATGAAAATTCCATCAAATGTTCCCTATGTGAAAAATATGCTCATCATGACTGCCTGGAATTACCCAAGCAAATGACTCAATTCCTAGAAACATCCAATGATGCATTTCCATTTTTCTGCCCACCATGCAAACCCAAACTGGACAAACATAGAGCCCTGTTTGAAAGAGTTGACTCTATAGAAACGCAAATAGCATCCTTTGACACCATAGTAGCATCCCTGGACACTTTAAATGAAAGATTAACTAACCTTGAAAAAAGAACAAGACACAACACAAAAACCTGAACAGCCAATAGCTACAAACCAACAACTGCAACCTAATCCAATAGCTACAAACCAACAACTGCAACCTAATCCACATAAAAACATAAATCCAACAAATAATTATATCCCAATCCTCATCAAAGAAGCTGTCGAGCGCGAAAGAAAGTGTCCTAACACCATCTTATTTGGTCTAGAGGACATCAATAACAATGATATTACAATTGTCCGCAACATCATCAGTGACTATCAAGCATCAACCATCTCCCCTGATGACATTTGACTTGAAATTTCCTGCATTGGCCGAGCTCAAAAACAGAAACGGCTCTGTGGCCCCACGCTTGTGCAGAGTCATTTGCAAAAATGAATTAAGCAAACATAAATTCATTTATACTATAAATTCACTCGCCAAAAACACCACCAACCATAAAAACCCCTGATCTCATCCTGACCTAACCTTACAGCAACGTGCCCGCTCCCGTATACTATGCACAGAACTCAAAAATAGTCTAGAAAATGGAGATAAGGACCTGTACATTGATTACCGTACAGACTGTATCAAAAGAAAGTCATACAACCCACAACTCAGCATCCTACTTCAACCAATCCACCATTACCCAAGACTAGGCACGCCCCCAACTACCTCAATTAAACTACAACTAGCCTTAAATGCAAGCTACTCAATGCAAGAAGCCTTGTAAATAAAATATCTGAATTTCTCCTCTTACTAAATACGACTAAATTCAACATCATATTTGTCTGTGAAACATGGCTCAAAGCATCTCTCCCTGACACCATTACCTCAGTAAGAGACTATCATGTTTACCGATCTGATCGTGAAATCCATAGAGGAGGTGGTGTTGCTATCTTCTATAAAAAGCCCTTACATCTAAAAAACATCCAAGTTACCGAAGAGCTTGCTCTTCCTAAGACCATTATCTGTGAACTGACCTTAAATATCACATTTCGGTTCTTACTATGTTACAGAGCCCCTGATTATGACATCGAACATGTAAACAAGCTAAATACACTACTAACATGGACAGCATCCTGCCCACACACTTTTATCTTTCTTGGTGACTTCAATCTACCTCATATTAACTGGACCCTTAAACAAATGTACAACTGAACCAATACATGCAATCTTCTACAATGCTGTAACAAATCTGGGACTGGAACAACTAGTAACCAACAATACTAGACTTAACAACAGCCTCGATCTCATCTTCTGCAATAGTTTGAATTTAATTTGTGGAATACAAATTAAAGAACCTTTTTCCAACAGTGACCACAACATGATTGACTTTTGTCTCAACATACATCCACACAAAAATCATCACAATGACAAAATCCCCAATTATAATTTTTAAAAAGGCAACTATGATCTTATAATCAACTATCTATCTTCCCTTGATTGGCAATTTCTATTCACTGGATGCAATACTATTGAAGACCATTACAACATATTCTCACTAGAAATCAAAAGAGCCATCAAACTATATGTACCAATAACAACTCCCAAAACCAGGAAAAACAGATTACCCATAACAATAAGGAAGCTTCAATCCAAAAAGGGATCACTTCGGCGAAAAAACAAATCTGGTCACGTTGCCAACTTCAAAAGCCGATACAAAAATCTATGCCACCAGATAAAAACTGAATGCACTAATTATCACATTAAACAAGAGGAAACCTTCTATGCACAAATTCCACCCGTGCTTTCCATAATTTTGTAAACAACAAACTAAAAGACTCAAGGTCCATTCCATCCCTGAAAGGACCTAATGGCAAAGACGACACCATCAAAGCAAACCTCTTTAACACATTCTTTGGCTCAGTATTTGTAAACAGCAATGGATCAAG